TAATTCTTTTTCACTTAGGTACAAACTATTAGTTTGCCCTATTTTCTTTCAAACTGTTTCTTTGGAGAATAAAAGTAATTAAGCCTTCTCTTGCATTGTTTTTTATAGTATAACCGTAGTACACTCGCATATCACGTTTTCCGCCATTCTGACTTAGATTTCCTTAAATATTCACATAAATATCAACTACGCTTAGCTTTGGACACCAGTATACTTGAGTGATATTACAGTTTCGCTGAAAAATGAGTAAGTACTACAGTCGGACTTCAGTGCAGTCCGGCGGGCATATTTTATGTAAGTTTGAAGGATTTCACACTGTTTATTAGTGAATCTAAATTCATTTCTCTGAGCAGTTCCAAATATACATTAATGCAAGAAGGACGAGTAATATATCAATACTATTTCTCTGACATTAATGAAAGGGTTATAAGGTTTTCTTTAGGTTTATTAACCAGTTATTTTAAGTTAATTTGCTTTTTTGTCCTTCTCGTTTCCCATTTTCCTACCAGAATGTAAATTTCTAGTTCGTGTGTACTCAAATCAGGTAGAAAGGATGTAGGACTTAAAGTAAGGCTTTAAAGGGAATCAGAGCATGTTCCGTCTACCGAAGGCCACATTGCTAATTTAATTCTTTTGAGAGCTGTATTTTGTGGCGTTGCGTTATTCTCGCCATTAGGCTTGTCATGCCGGCTTTAAGTAAAAGCCAACTTGCGCGTTTCTCTACCTGAGTGGCCGTTGAGCTAACTTATGTTTACTTAGTTAAGTCAAATTCCTAACTTTTGTTCTAATCATAAATTCTGGCTATTCCCTAAGCATGAGTGTGCCCTCTGTTAACTTTTTGTTAACTTTGCTGTTGAAGTCAATAAAAGAGCTCTTTACACTCATTCTCAGACTCCGTGACAGTTGACTAGGAAGTGCTTTGTAGACAAAGCATGAATGCTACTAAATACAGGAGTTTTTTTCTTCACAAAAGCCTTCACCTTCGTCTAAACTAATACAAAAAACTGTTCAGAATAAAACTTTTGTACACAAAAACTATACATTTAAATCTTCTTTAAACCTATCAAACATTTTGTGATACTTTGTGAACGGTCTTCTTACTCACTTGTCTGATGGGAAAAGTAGTTAAAAGGAAGAAAGAAATCTCTTTTTGTAATGCAAAATGCATTTGTTAGATATCACGTAAATTTGCAAAATTAAAGGAATCTTTGAAAATAATTAACACTGCTTACTTCTTGTAATGTCGTGTATTAAGTAGCATATTCTCATCGCATTCAACGTCTACCTTAAATAGTGCGATTTTCTAAAGCCATCAAATGATGTTAGTTTGTCTATGTCTTTTTGGGCCAACAATATAGACTTTAAAAAGGACTATTGAAGAATTATCTTAAAGCCTTGTGGGAAAAGAATTAACAAATGATCCAACTTGGGTTGCAATAAACCAAGCACTTCTGGCTTAACAGAATGTGTAACAAATAATAATTTCAAGGTGTGGTAGATTAGCTTAACGGCTCACAGAATACTTAAACGCGCAGTAAAAGCTTTGATTTGTAGTAAACCGGCGAGACAAGAAAAATGGCTAGAACACTCAACGCCGCTAACGCAAGTCGCTAATAATCGCAGAACAACGTGGTTTGGAATAAACAGACACGCTCTGAAACTAACTTCAGAAGCTCTTGCTTAAATATCACTTCTTTCTACTTAGATTTGAATAAACTCTCGCTACCTCATTTACATTCTGTCATGAAAAGCGTGTGTGAAAAGAGAGTAATAGGAAAGTCTTTCAACTTAAAATGAACTATTAGTTAAAAATAAATAGATAAACCTCACAAGTTCTCCACCTGTATGGCAAAACTGTACAGAGGCTTTCGGATTTTCCCGTATGTAACGTAAATACTAGCTAGTTTCCCTCGGGAAGCTATATTTACAAAGCTATATTTTGATAAGCAGAAAGTTACCAAGTGCGTTGCCATATTTAATCAACCAACTACCATCTCATCACACGCTGTAGTAACTAATTGCGGTTACTATCAGAGAACACTAGTTCCTGAGGTAAGTGATCATTCCGTTCCTTATTAATACACACATTTTATTTACAATATAATACAATTGCTACAAGCATTATTGTTAGGCAAACGCCTTCATCGTTATTAGGCTTAACACCTTCGATCATCCATCAAAACTAAGCTAAGTTATAGAATATCAACACAGGCAAGACGTTCGGAGCGCCACCTAACGGCGCAAACTATCAATTTATAACATCCTGCCCCCCATGAACTGCAAGTTCATCAATTAAATATAACTAATTAATATCATACAATACTCATTTATCAATTACAATAATGAATAATTGTCAATACTACAATTAATATCAAAAAACATAATGAAAATACTTCAATAATAGATAACAAAACAATAAACTAATAATACTAATAATAATGAGAATAATATATAGAATTCTAAATGAAATGTTAAAGTTTAAATTGTCTTATTTTCTCAGCATATATAGTCTATTCTGAAAGTTCCAATGGATACGTTTCACTATACCAGTTGTATTTGTCATTTTTCACTACACGATCGTATCTTACCGTCGCGTCCGGTATACTTTTGCCACAATTTTGCCTAAATTCCACATATTTCTAGGCAACTTGATCAAGACTACATCATCCGTCTCCGATCAAGACTACATCATTCACTTTAACGTCTCCTTTGACCTTTGCTGGTGTTACAGAGTTTGCAGATTTTAAGTTTAGCAAATATTCGCTTTTCCATCTTTTCCAGTAATGATCTAACAAATTTTGTCGATAGTTGTATCGCTTTATCATATTATTTATAACTGCATTAACATTTGCAACATATTTTACCGGTGGTAAAGAAATTAAACGTTTCCCTACAAGAAAATGCGAAGGACTTAAAGGAAAAGGCCATAGCTCCTGTGAATTACTGTACACATTGGTAATCGGTCTTGAATTTATTATGGCTTCTAATTCTGTTAAGACAATTCTCAATTCTTCGGTTGAAAGAGACGACTTCCCGATTATTTTCTTGAGGCATGTTTTCACAGTTCTCACTAGACGTCAATAAAAGCCCCCCCCCACCAGGCTCCCTTTTCAACGATAAACTTCCTAACGGCGCAAACTAACAATTTATAACACACGCTGAAGATAGCCTGTAAGGTTTCCTTTAGTTATCGAACATTTAATTCAAATTTCGTTATCGTTCCTGAACTCCTCAACTTCCTCTCGCATTTCGTCGCCAGGATGTAAATTTAAAGTTAAGTGAAGTGAGTATTTAAACGGGTGAATCTCTGAGTTTAGTCAGAGCGTGTTTTTGCTAGCCAACGCCCGTTTAGTTGCTTATCTCGCCGTTGCGATAGTGCGCCCCTTGGCCATTTAAGATAATTGTCATGCCTGTTAGGTTTTGTTGAGTCAACCTAAGTTAGCCGTAACTTAACTTTCTAATCCAGCACTATTCTATTTAGACTTGAATTGATTTATGTTATAACGTTCAAGTTCCACCGCAAGTGGTCGGTGTTATTGTAAAGCACGAAGTACATACCTTTCTGTTCTGAGTTGAATTAATAAAGAGTTATTTTCACCCTTTTTCTGTGCAGGTATTATCTTCACGCCTCGGCGAGAATTCGCCAGGTTCATTGTAAGATCTAGTTTAGTTTATGTGGAAAAGAAGCGACAGAACTTACAAGCCCATCTCATGATACCCACGTGGATATGATCTTCTTACATACCTGCAACTTCTCTATAATTGAAAGCTCTTGCTCAGATGCCATACTTATTATAATACGAAAAGCAATTAGTAATTTAAATAATACAAAATTTTACGCTCTTCTAAAATTACCAATTTTTTAATCATTAAGTAGCATACAAAGGCCTTTGAAATGGAAGTTCTGCCACTAGGTTTTCAAATATGAGATATACAGGTACTCTAACAATACAGCTTATAAGCACAGCAGATGTAAGTTACAATTAGTAAAGTGTTGTAAGCTGAAATACAGCTTACTGCATTTTATTCCCTTGGATAACTATTAGAAATATATTTACTATAATTTAAGAAGTCCTTTTTCATTTTTCATAAGTTCACAAATGTAAAATTATACGCGTGCTTTTCTTTAATAAAATTATACATTCTTCTTATTAAATACCTTAAAATTGCATATCCATTTCTCTTCTTATATATTTGCTTAGAAAATTAATTCTTGTTCGTTTCATGTTCTTATTTACTTTTATTAAATTTTTATCTTAACTTCTCGCATTAAATCAAAACACATTTCATACGTTCTTATGCCTATACGAACGGGACTTTAATACCCATGTAATTGCTTACGAGCACTGCAACTAAGCTAGAATGCGTGCTTGATTAGCCTGGAATGAAAGCCCAAGAGCTTAAAGGATCTTCTCATAAGAAATGTGAACACTTTATTGAATAATATATATCCACTGGAGCAGAAGCAACTTGTAAAAAATATTCTTCTAAGTTTATACCGCATCTAGTACGTGCCTCTTATCTATTATTGATCTTGCCATCTTTAAGAGGCTAGTGTAAGCTATAAACTCTAGCCCCTCTACATTATCAAACTTTAAACTTTTCTCCTCTCTTGTTTTCGGTTAATTTGTTTAAGCCAAGCCTTTTTCTCCTGTCTTGGCTCCTTCCGGTGCTTAAGTTCGTAATTCGTATCTTTTGACGTGCCGCTATTTGAAGCTGAAAGAGTAAAGACACAAATGTCGACTAGCTAAATACATGTTAGATTTAGGATTCAAGGATGAATTCTAAAGTAGTAAACTGATTCTTGATATAATTGAAGTATTGAGATAATTATTCTTTACCACAGCCTTTATGTTTAGATTAAATCTTTAGAGAGCGAGGGAGCGCAAATGTTCAACATTATGGACTGCATGTGTATAGCAAACATAGCAGCAAAAATATGTACTTGGCACAATAAATCCATATTCACAAATAATACCACAGAAAATAAGAAAATCTACCTTAATCCAGTCTTGATATCCGCTTTCGCGAAAGCCATGAAGAATGATTTTCACTGGTCGCAGGGGATCGAAAAAGGACTGGGCAAAACTGGCATTGTTTCCGGCTCGTATTTTCTGGAAAATATCAGGTGCAGATCGAGTTACTAGAAGAAACTGTGGGTCCATAGTCTCTGGATGCATAGGAAATAAACTAATAGGCCTCAAGGAAGAGAAAAAAGGCTCTCCAATTGAGAAGCAACCCCATCGATCAAAACACCGCCTCAGGAGACTGTCATTTTCTGAAATAAAAGTTACAGTTTCTTGAAACATATCTTTTGAGAAAACAGCTAAATGATATATGCTTAAACTTCGCATAAAAACTACATAACCTTGATTTTCGGTACAATTTGTTTGCCTTTAGAGTGTAAGCCAACAAGCTCTGCTGTTGCAATTTTGTAATAAATTTTACGATGATACAAACTAATTATTCAAAATAAAATAAAATACTAGTTAGAGAAGGTTTCTAATCATTTTAACCACTAGAACAAAATTATTTATTTGAAAGAGTCTGCAAAATCTAAATGTCCTACTAGTGCGAGTAATACTGCAAATACTAATAAATGAAAGTTCATAAAGTTATAAAGTTTTATTTGTTTATTTCAGTAGTTGAAGTTAAACATTAGCATTTACAATGTTATTTCAACAGTGGATATATATTTCTGTTATTTTATGAAAAGTACATCCGAAATTGGCTTTAATTAAGTTATTTTGATATTAAATTTAATTCTTTCGTAATTTTCTTATTCAGAAATTAAATTCTTTAAAAGTATTTTAGTAAAAAGGAATACAGTTCTTGTTTTAGTTAGAATTCTTTCGCAGGAATCGTGCAGGAATATTTCATGCTTTTATTGCTTTTTATTCCTGGAAATTAAACAGTATCCCGGATGTTACCCTGAAATATTAAAATTCCCTTAATTTTTTTTTCAATATGAATAAGTGCAATGAACAATGTTAGCGTAAAAAAAAAAGAAATATCATTTCTATAGGCATAAAACAATTAACATGATAATACTTTGCTAAATACAGTTCAAAATTGAAAATAATTAAGGATTCAGTTCCCCTCCTCGCAACAACGTTAATATTTTACTGCATATTTTTAAACATACAACTATTTGAATTCGTGAAAACATATTTTTGCAAGCGAATAACAATTTGCATTAGCAGAACATGGGATTATTGTCCGTCTTCTGCATCATCATGATGGTTACGCATCACTATGTTTTATATAATGCAGGATGTTAAATCGCTAAGATTTCTGCTGTCCCTTTGAATAACTAAGAAAACCACAAAAGATTTCGAAACAATACGCTATGCTTCTCCGTTTGAATTCACAGATCAGTTTTCTTAAACTTAAGCAGCAAATCTGTATTACTTATTTTAAATTATACCCACGAATATTTCCCCAAAAAGGATATTTTACTTAATATTTTTGGTCAACAAAACTTACTCAACTAGTTTTCTTTTTCTAACAATTTATTCACTGGAATTCAAAGCCGAATAATAATGTGCAAAGTCAAACTGATGCTACTTTTAGCGTGAGTGTTAGCCATCTTAGTATTGAATGATATTGAATGAATAAGGTAGTATTAGACTCAATGTCTTATTTTATCATTAGATGCAGAGAAACTATAGAAAAGAAATTGAGATCAATTTCTACAGTTGAAAAATCCTTGAACCAAGTACTGGAAGAATTAGAAACAAGAAAGAATAATTATTTAAAAACAAAAGAAAAGCAGAAAGAACTTTTGAAACACCAAAATCCTACTATATTAAAAAGACAAAGAGAAAAACGTGTATGTAGCGTGAATGCACTCAGCTGATCTTGCAAAGTCAAAAGAAAAAAATCTTTATCCTTTTATCCTTCCTCACCGTGTAAGAGCGGCAAATTTTTCGCTATCTGCATGCAGTGTGCTTATTGCATCAGGTGGTAATGCATTCTTTACCATTAAATTTACGCAATTTATTATTATGTTTTAGGATTATTATTAATGTTTAAAAATGTATAACAATTCTTTTACCCGAAACATTGTCTATAGTTAAGTTTTTTTATCAATTTCATGAGTTGATTTATTTTCTTGACTGTACTGTTTATTGTAGAATGCCTTTATACTACTATATGTGTTTTAACTGTTTTTTTTATTTCTTAAGAAGATCAAAAACGTTTAGTTGCCCCCAGTTCACTGATCCATAGTAATCCCTTGTCAGGTTAAATTTAGAGTTAGGGGTAATACCTCTCATGTGTAGTTTACCTCTCAACTGTATTTATCCATTTTCCCTTTTTGCTACAACATTTATATTATGCACATAATTACACAGAAAACATTCGGATTAACTGGGCAATGGATTGATCGAGCGATGTGTAAAGTATTTTGAGGTTTATTTTTTGCGAAACAATGGAAATATTCTAGTCATGAAACAAAACTTTCTATGGAAAATTCAAAAAAGACAAGAAAAATTCGTGGGATATCTAAATGCCTAAATTAAAAGCAGTAATGTTATAGTTATTTATTTATAACTTAATCTCTTCATTTTTAAGTTATGTTTATTCTTCCTTGACTTACAATGTGTTCTTTATGTTTTGAACACTAATTTAGCTAAGGTAACCAAAGAAGCTTATTTTTCAGCTAATTTGTCAATAGCATTTTGCATTTAATTATAATATGGGCTCTTCTTTTCACTACCTGACGCCGTTCCCTGCTGCTTTCAGATTAACCGTGACTTTAGCATATTCGTGGATGCCGTTCCTGGTATTACCCGGGTTAATAGGTAACTGACTATAATTCAATCTCTATATTTAACCTTAAATCATTTACAACCAGTATTTTATAAATAACTTTAAAAATGCGCAAAAGGCATAAAATATCAATCTCTCCTCTTTCTAAATAATGATTTAACTTGATTTGTAGCATTCGATAAATAATATGACTACCTACACATATACGAGCGCTGAAGCTGAAATTGGCAGTTAAGATAACAGAAAAATAACTGACAGCAGAGAAGTCTGTAGATAAATGAAAGAGAGCATACACGTTTTGTTAGAAAGGAAAATGTTCTATAGCGGGAAGGAAAAAGAAAGAAATACGAAAGCTTTGTGTTTTAAAAAGCCAAAAATCACATGAATATTAAAACAAATAAGCTATAAAAACATTTTTAATTGTAAAAAATTAAAATTTTCAATGACACGGTTTTGTAGCTTAAAATTAATACATATTTTACATTTAAAAAAACTGATACTATCTGTACAATCGAAATTTACTATCTCAGTGCTATTCTCGTCATAAGTGGTCTGGTTTTTAAATATGTAAGTTTAAAAAATCGATCTTCTGAATTCATAAAACTATCACTAAAATTTAGAGAAAAATCAAGGCAAGAAAGAACTTATAAAAATAACCAAACCTAATCTTAATCCCATGATAAGTAGAAAATTAATGGACTGTACGATTTTGCTTTTACTTATTTTTTTAACACACGATTCTAATTAGTGACCTGCTGCTTAAAATATAACGCATATACAGAATCACAGTCTGTTTAGGATAGATAAACATTCTATAAAATTGAAGATCCTGTTTAAATCACATTTTTAATAATTTTACAGGATTATATCAGAGTTTCTCCTTCACGTATTGTACATTTCCATTATAAGCGCTTTCAGTTATATTCGCAAACTGACCAGGTCTTCTGACAGAAAAAAAAAAGAAAGAAAGAAGACGATACATAAAATCATTATTTAAAGTTAAATCTCTGTAACAGGATGGTTCAATTGGATAATGTGTAAAATTGATCTTAAAATTTTTCTCCACTCTCTTTATTTTTAATTTGCCATTATATGAAAAACCGGCAACAATCATAAATCCCTTTGAAAAACTTTTGTTTAGATTCTTTGAACCATGTTTTTAAGGTTTTGTTCTCCTTTTTGATGATAATAATGGATCTCTTTTTATTGCCGTCATTTACATACATTCAAAATTCATATATTATGACAACATTTTTGCATTTTTGCCCAGATAAATGCTTCTGAAAAAGAATTGTGAAGAGCGTTTTGCGTTCGACGATATGTCGCGAAGAAAATCACTACACATTACGTTTTTCCGCCTTTTTAAGATTCAAATCAGCATTAATCACTTTGTTTTCACATGACACTGAGCATTTTAATAATTTTACTACTTCCCTTTCACTTGGCGAAGTTTCTTTTAATACTGAAGATCTTACTTGTGCAAAATTCGAAATATTCCGTTTTTTTCCCTTGGATATACCTTCGGAACAATTTTTCCTTTCTTGTTGATAATTTTATCTATCGTAGATTTAGATATCGAAAACTCATGACTTTCACGGTGTTTTATAATAGCTGCTAGATACGAATAAGTATCTTCGGAAAGAGCATAGACATAGCCTTCCATCCACTGCTTCTTTAAAATCGCCATTTTGCATGAAAACAAAACTGTCAAGTAGCAGCTTATAATTAACACTTTCAAATATAAAATTTCAGTTAAAAAAATTTCTAAGTAGACGAATTTTTTATAACAAAGCAAAATCGTCCAAAATTAAGCGAGCCTTTGTAGAGATTTAAAAAAAAAAAAAAAAAAACTTGGATTAACTTGCATTTCACAGTTTCATTTATAATGAAGGAAAGCATAAATTTCTTAATTAATTTCACGTTACGAAATTTTTATAGCTTTTATACACTACAGTAAATGGTTTTATTATTAAATAAAATATTAATTAATAAAGAAATATCAAATAATTATTCAGTTATTGTTACCAGACTACTAATAATAATCATACAGTTGCAGAATCCTGATTATCCGAGCTAATGTTCACCAATAAATGCTACCCAACTGAAAATTCCATCAAAACAAAATGCCATTATCACTTCGAAATTAAACCTTACCGATTAATCTTCACCAATTGTATGGTGCACGATAAACTTTTAAGCATCTTTTCGTAGCTTAATTAATTTAATGTTTAATGTAAAAGATGAAAAATACACATTCACACGTTATATAGGTAAAACGTAGAATACTAGCTTCCATGAAAAGAATAAAAATGTTTATTGTTTTAGAGTTGTAGGTTACATTTAATTTGAACGTTTTGAAGTGGTGCGGAAACCAATCTTTCTACAGAAATTAATTTAGCCTTGGAATTTTCTAAAATTTATTTAATTATTAAAAACACTTCCTCTATAAAATAATGAATTTCCTTTCTTCGTTATATAATGGTTTTCTGTGCCTTAATATTCTTC